GGGGGGGGGGGGGGGGGGGGGGGGACGAGTTGAATATTCATTCGAGCAACTTGACAAATCAATTTCCGAACATCATTCTCGGAATAAATCTTACACATTCAATAACTCGAGTATGGGTTTCAATAATGGATGGCAAATAAGGAGGGCTCCTCCGAAAATTCCTCATCGCTGAACTCCGCATCCGATGTATCTACGTGCGTTTATTTCTTTCTGCCGAGCCTGATTTGAATAACGGATGCGATGTTTACATTATTGAATGTCGGGGCGAAAGCAGTCGCGGTAGTAATGCTTTGCGCCGAGGGAGGATGGCGGGGGCGGGGCTGTGGGGGGTGCGAGGCGGGCGGGGGAGGAGGAGCGGGAAGCGCAGGCAGGAGTTGAATTATCAGGCAGTTATTAAGCGACGCAGAAGTATCAATCTAGGCGACTCGGCGTCGCCGAACTTTCAAAAAATCCATTAAATCTTCATCAAGACGTGAAATGTGGGTCAAAATATACTGAAAAAAAAAAAAAAAACTACGGCTGTGGAATCCGTACTCACGGGCTATATAGACATACCGTCCGCGTTCCGGGCTCAGAGGCCGAAAGTTCCGGGCGTTGCACCCGGAGCAATCGAAGCTATGGATCCAGAACCCGGAACTTTCGACTTTTGAGCCCGGAATGGATGGTATATCTATACAGCTTCGTCCGCGTTCCGGGCTCAGACGCCGAAAGTTCCGGGCGTTGCACCCAGAGCAATCGAGGCTATGGATCCAGAGCCCGGAACTTTCGACTTTTGAGCCCGGAATGGATGGTATATCCATATAGCTTCGTCCGCGTTCCGGGCTCAGAGGCCGAAAGTTCCGGGCGTTGCACCGGGAGCAGTCAAAGCTATGGATCCAGAACCCGGAGCTTTCGACTTCTGAGCCCGAAATGGATGGTATATCTATATAGCTTCCCTACAAATAAAATCTATAATATGTAAGTAGCCAGATTCTTATAAATTCCTTGATTAGCACAGGGGTATTAACCCGTTCTCTTAATTATTAATTGAAAGCAATTGCTATCACTACAAGCGTAATGCTTGCTTAATATAGCATATTAAGCCTCAGTGGTTGCGCCAATGAGAAATGGGTCCTCTAATGGCCATGGTCACGCTCTCCGTGCTACGGAGATCTACTATCTCTGACCTCCAAAGCGGATGGTCCACTGTCCAGTGTCGGAGGTGGCAATGTGGCATGAATGGATTCGGATTTCGGAACGTCAATGCCATTTCCATCTTGAACGAGTGTAAACTGACATTCTGGTGTCAGAGGCGAGGATTCGGGTTGGAAGAGGTGGGGGTGGGTGTGAGAGGTGGGGTGGGAAGGGAGGAAGGAAGCAAGGCGATGCACACGACCGCGCATCGAAGAGATTCGATAGGAACCTTAACTGTACGTGAACATGCGTCACAAGATCGAGCGAAAAAGCAAGCCTATTCGAGGACCTGTGATTTGAGCATCGGTTGGATCCAATCTGATCCCTCGTTTTTAAAGGAGCCGTTCGTTTCGATGAGCAGGATTTTCAATCGAAAAATTATTAATTGCACTGCATTTTGCAATGGATTACTAGACAAGGTACGAATTTGAGCAATTTGATACATTTTTCTTAACCAGAATTTTACTTAAAACACGATTTACACAACGAAAATTATTGAAACCAACTCCTGACCAAGATTTTAACGTTTTTATTTCACATTGGGTACGAGGAATTTGAAATTGATTACGAAGAGCTTTCGCTCAAAACAAATCCCAGGTAAATTGGTCCAGTAGTTTCCGTTGAAGAGGACAAAAAAAACCGTAAAGTTTTAATTATATAGATTCCGCAATTTTGAATTACGGAGATCAGAAGAAATATGGCAACATCAAATTATTTATACGCGATTTCTTGTTTGCAGCATTGCTGTCTAAATGTATAGTATACTATGAGAGATATGAAGAGCATGGAATGTTCCGTTGCGATCGAAGCTGTAGAAGCACTGAGTGAAAACTCAGGATCGGGGCGCCTTCAATTCGAGTGATACTTCCAGCTTTGCCGGAGAGTTAGTTTAGTTGCATGACCTAACCTAACCCAACCTGGCTCCGTTGCGATCGGTTCTTGAGAGAAACAATGTGTGTACCATAAGTTTCTCAATACACATAAGTGATTTTACCAATGAACCAGAAACTATAGTTCCAAATTACAAAATGAGGTCCAATTGTAATGCTTTAATGGATCACATTCGATACATCAAACATGTGAGATTGTATCGATATCGATTGGTTCAACATGTAAGCATAGCCTCAAAAGTCAAGTGAATAACTTGAGGGAACGGGTACTTTGTGATAGATTTTTGATTCTTATAAATGCAATTTGACCATTTAAATTTAAATTGTTGGGAATTTTCTCGTCTTCAGCTTTTTCAACTTAAATCCTAAAATTTTCGTTTGAAGTTATGCTCTATTGTCTTGAGCCAAACGGTAAATCGAACCAAAATCGAATATGAAATATTTTTACCTCATAACCATGGCGTGGCTGGATGCATTTGGTGAGAAGGAGGGTCATTTACAACTTACAAGGCTGGACTTGCCATTCGGCTACATAAGCTAGGTATCGCCTAAGGGTACAGCACTTGCAATACAATCTATTTCAAAGAATTTTGGTTTTATATGATTCAATGAACAGAAAAAGTGCAGTTTCGCTGTTCTGCTCTCTCATTAACAGCTTCAACTTTCAAACTTTTCAGGTTTTAATTGTTACTTGGAAATCTGACGTCAACCTGCCTTAACCCTCCCCCTCAACCTCGCCAAGCGCATGTCAAGCAACCTTTGATTCAGCTCCCTCCTAGGACCCTGGCGTCATTTATGGACGGGACCTTATGTTTTTTTGTTCAATTTTGAGCACCTTAATAATCACGATGAATATTTTCCCAATTACGTTGACTCGAGAGTGCATGCCTACATTCACTTCTAAATTAGAACTGCCAAGATTATTAAGCAGAGCATTGACGTCATTCACTAATTAAAACACGAAGTAAAAAGAAAGCGAGAAAAAAACCGAACGAAGCAGTTTCCAGCCCCGAACGTCGTTTCCTTGACTCCGGCCTCGTGAGGTTCGCGAGGTATTTAATAAACTAAACAGAACCTTTTCAGTGCCTCATTAAATAATTCACGGGAAGAGGAGGGAACACGATGAGATAGTAATTCTACAAGCCTTCATGATAAAGCTAATAATGGGGCCCTTTCCCACAGCAACAATTCAATTATTCAGGGGCGAGTAGGAACTAGAAATTACGATCTAGCTTCACGCCTAAAAATGATTAAAACCCCGGGTGCTATTTTGCCGTGCTAAGGAAAAACGCCGTATGAACATTCGAGAGTTGCCAAATTTCCTTCGATAAAATGTTTATTTTTGAGGCTTGAGGGAAAAAAACACCAAGTGGCCCGAATACTGGTGGAAAAATGGTGCTGGGTTCACACCATTTAGCGGGGGAATCAAAGCCAAGAAGTTCCAAAAATTATGATTAGAGTCAAAAATAACTCCAAAAATAAAGTCAAAAATAAATTATTTTTGACTCTAATTATAATTT